TCTCTCTCTCTCTTTCTCTCTCTCTCTCTTTCTGTCTCTCTCTCTCTCTGTTTGTGTGTGCAGACCCTATACCACCCTACCCCTTTCCCTTACTGTGATTCTATGTATGCTATGAAACCAACACCCAAGAAAATTGCATCGTCAAATTCGCTCATCTTTATATTCTGGCATTAGTATGGATATCCAGAAAACCACGAATGCATTTATAGCTCTCAAGTTCTGTATGTGAACGCACCTCTATCTATTCGTGACTCAATCCTACATTAGGAAATTGGATTTAAATGTGCTTAGGATTAGGTTCAGGTTAGGGTTAGGGTTAGGGTTAGGATTAGGATTAGGGTCAGGTTAGGGTTAGGATTAGGGTCAGGTTAGGGTTAGGTATCCGATACGGGGTTAGAAATTAACTCGCTTTTGTCAGGCAGCTAGTACTTGCAGCCAAAGAAAAAAGCAGGCAGCAAGATTACTCACCCAGGCAGAATCTTTCGTGCTTTTACTATAGTTCATTAGGAATTCCTTGGCAGCAAGTATTTGCTGTGGATGTTGAGAGCAGGCAGCCAACTACTACTGCTTGCTGCCCTTAGTTTCGTACCCTAGCTATGATTAGGTTAGAGTTAGGGTTAGCTATAGGGAGTGTGATTATAATGATTAGGGTTAAGGGTTAAGATATTAGGGGTAGAGATAGGAATAGAGTAATACATTTCAATTTTCATTAATCGGCTCTGTACTTATTTGAGATTTCCATCTTTATTGTATACTAGACTTGCCCCCACGTACATAACTCTGTCATTCCGTATTGGAATTCTCTTCCTTCATCATTGGTAAATTGCAAATTTGCAATTTTTTCCAGTGCAATCCGCAGTGTTGATCTATCGATTTGATACAGTTCCCTCTCCGTCTTCGTTAGTCCCTAGGACTTTTGAAAACTAACTTTTATGAAGTTATGAGGTTACATAACAACTCGAAGTATAATGTGTGCATTTATATATGACATAGCTAGCATTTTCTGCCTAATTAAAATTAAAACGAATGCAGAAACGTGTAATTGACTTTCACTTTACTGTATGATATTTAGCTGAACACAGACATAACTTCCTTCATTATGCATGCGCATTCCCAGTACTTCCCTTTTTTTTCTGCGCAAGTACATGTAAAAAAACTAACCGTGATAAAACTCGTGAACGCTGAAGGACGGTGCGGGTGAGTCGCGTGACAACGCACCGTGAACTATATATAACTATAACTATAGTATAACTATAAAGTATAAGCAACACAGCAACACTTGAACACGGCGAGCGCACGAAAGCATGCTGTACAACTACATAGTTCCAGTCCGTCATACTTTGCAGTCGGGTAACATGGGCGTAAGACGTGAATCATCCGTCAGCCAAGCTTCAAATCCATCGGGAAATTATTTACAGCGGCGGTGACTCAGCTTCTATTTTCGTAGCTGACGTCATGGTTGACATTTGCAGCTAGGCGCAGCCCGCCTGTACCGTGTACGCGCCGACTTGCAGTTATGTCAATGTACACACACGCGCACGAACACACATCACTCGAGGAAAACCCCCCTTCTTTCAAAACAAACAGTCACGCCGACTAACTTGTGCATCGACACGATTCGTGGAGCAAATATATTAAAACTTATTTCGTTCATCGGTACTCACCCGCTGAGAGAAGTATCATTCGATGGGTGATTCAAGCTCGATCAGCTTTCATCATCACCTCCGTCATAGCGCTTTCTCTTGGCTCTTCCGACTGTTATTGTGCAGCTACACGATGACGTCAATCGACCGTGATGACGTAATGTGCTCGGGCGACATGTGACCGGGTGGTGTAGACTGGTACACGGTCCCACCTCTCGGCTTAGGCTCTCCTATCGAGTAATCGAGGTGGGAGCGAGTACCAGTCTACGGGTGGTGTTCACTTGTAACCGTCTGCCAGTTCACATACTTGCATGCTTGCACTGAGCTGTATATAACTATTAAACTATTATTATATAGTATACAGCTCAGTGACAGTGGTACATAGCGTGTAGAGCCGAATTTAATTTATAACATATCTCAGGCAACGCTGACTGAATATGTGATAATACCATAGGATATAATAATAGCATATCACGCATACTCAACATAAATGTATGTAGGCCTATTTGTTGAAAACCGCACAAAGAGAATTACGTGTACATGAGAAACGTACTAAAGTGTAAACATAATGTTTTACATTTTCCATATGCTCATTTGTTTATCAAAATTAGAATATCTTCATCAGTCATCATAATCTCGTAATATTAACTAGAAAAGGCAGTTGTCGCCAACTACATGTAATATGTAATAATGTATCCCCGTGATCTAGTATGAATAAAATATCTCTGTAACTGTAAGGACGTAGAAGGTAGGGAAAGTTAAATAAGTCACAAAGACAAAGGTTTGTTACAGTTACACAACTCATCTGCCTGAGATGTGCAAGTATGGTTGCCTTAGGGGTTTTGGTACGCGACACACCTTTTCCCCAAGATGTGTAAGTATACGAAGTTTGCTCGTGCTAGGTCAATTAGGGGCCGAGTTATAGAGTGAAAGGGAAATATGATGAAGGTCAAGGTCAATATCAAATAAAGGTTGCAGTGACCGGGTTTCGGTCGCTGCGCACTTTCTCCCCAACATGTGT